TCATGATTAAATCGAACTTCTACTAACAACTTAGTAGAGGTTCATCAACTTTACGTATTTTATTTTACGAAAGATTTCATTGCGTAGTCCTTCTTCTGGCTGAATATTTTCTGATAGGTTCACTTCAAGACAAGCGTGTTGCTTAGAAAACTCCTTTCTGGTGCAATATTAGTGCGTTTTTATATATTTCGCCTCAAACATTTAATTGGCTGAACATAGTCCAAAGCTTACACTTCAGTAAGTATTCGTTCTATTGAATAAATTGCTTTCTTCCTATACTTTCCGATGGCAGCTTAATCTTATCATTATTGAAAGGACTTTGCAAAACAAAAACGCTACTTCATGGTGTATCGCATTCGTGTGGCTGGAAAATGTTTGAATCTTTTTGAGATGAAACTTCGCAAAAGAATTTTCATTGTAGAAATTTCCTTTCTTCGAAATCTAGAATTTCAAGAAAAATGCTCTACAAACGCTTCTAGTTTAGCGTTTTTTGTTTATCACTTTCCATTGGCAAAGTTATAGATATACATATATTTACCTCTGTACTCATATAATATTTGATATGTTTCAAATATCACCCAGAAACCTTGAAATATTCAAACGAATATTATCTCAATATTGAACTCATGATAATTATATTAAAAAAAAAAAAATAAAAAATAAAAGAACCTGTTTTAATTTCGTATAATACAATCTTTTCATCTATTATTGTTGTCTTTACTTAGCATATGTACCACGGATTTTAATTAGGTATTAGCAAAAAAAAAAAAAAAAAAATTAATAAATATATATACATATATATATATACATATATACAAATATATATATAGTATATATATATAAACTGATACACTTAAACATAAAAACTACATTAAATCTAAACTGATTTGAAACAACAATTACAATAATGCTGAATAACAACAATACTGAAAAAGTCAACAACAAAAGTCTAAACTAAAAGTAGGAGGCGCCTACAGTTCAAGATAGTAGCAACCAACACACGAAGAGCAAGATGAAAAACTGAATGGAACAAAACACTGTGATCTCATTGGCATATCGCGTGCAATTAGACGCAAAACCCACGCAGCAGCGCAACACCACACAATACACAAAACAACAACATAAATAATACTGCATATATATATATATATATATATATATAAACATAAATACATATATATATATATATATATATGCATATATATGAATATACATATAAGATATATATGATGTACTTGCATACGAACATATAAACAAAAGCAGAGATATGCCGAGATAAGAGTTGCCTTCGAGAGCAGAGGGAGAAGTTAAAAATTGAAAAAGAAAACGCAAAAACAAAAATTGCTTTAGCAGTAACAAAAAAAGAAATAAATAAAAAACAGGACTGAATGGACGGAGTACATATTTCGTTTTATATTCGAACTAAAATTGAACAAATGAAAACCACGTGCAACTGTGTTGTTTTTGTTTTACCCATATATTCAACACGCTAAACTGTTATCCGTATCTAGCGGATATTAACAGATTTTCAAAAAGATAAAGAGAGAAATGAAATTTTAAGAGAATTTTTTACTCTTCGCATCAAATTTCTTTTATAGACCAAAGAGCGAGAGAGACGATACGTTTATATGTATGAGTGTTAAGTTATGTTTTGATTTGTAGTTGTGTAACTTGTGGGCTCATTCTATTTAGAAAGGCCGCTGGTAGCGCCAGTGTCTGTTAGGGCAGTGTCGGTTCAACGTCAGAACCGTACGCGTCTTCTTTTTCAAATATATATTTTGTATTATTATCACGTAGTACGCGCTTAAGAACGTACATGAAACGCTCTTCACACACTTGAAAAACAAAATACAAACGTTATCCGGACTTTAACGTACTTACGTGATACTTCAGTTTTAGCTTAAAAGAGAAAAGAAGAAGACAAAAAAAAAAAAAAAACAAAGAAGTAAATCAATTTTACGTTATATCTATATATATATCTATATCTATATATATATTTTTTTTCTTTTATTTTAAATTAAACAAATGAGAAATAGAAATAAAAACAAAAAAGTATCGAACAAAAATATATAAATATTAAATATATATATATATGTATAAACAAAAATAATATAATAAATGAAATATATGTGAGACTTGTGTACATTTTTCTGTTTGTAATGATATAGATTATTGTCATTAATTTTATTTAATTATTATTGTAAATAGTAAAGGGAATGAAAAATATGAACAAAAACAAAAACGTTCGCAAAGGGCGAGATTGAAGCGTTAAAACCGTTTTGAAAGATATATGCATATCACTGCAGATGCACTTAAACACACTAATGCAAATATTCATTTTAATACATGCATACACACATACATACAATCCGATACGCACACACACATACTATTAACACTTACTTATATATATATATATGTATATGTATATATGTACGTAAGTGCAAAGAATAGTTTACTATCAATCCAGCGAACGACGTCAACCAACGCAACACTAAAAATTTCGGTCATTTTCGTTTACATTGAGGCACAGGAAAAATCTGAGAAACTGAAAAACCAAAAAAATTTTAAAAAATAAAAGAAATCACACAAAAAAGGAAAAAAAAAAAAAGAAAGAAACCAAAAGCAATTCGGCTGCTTTGCAACCGACAACGCGATTGCCACACGGTGGTGCGCGAGTATGTGTTTAGATTTGTGTGTGTGTGTGCGTGTGTGTATGTGTGCATGTATGGGTATATGTATGCGTGCATATACATATACGCGTTTGTACAGTGGTGCGCCAGTGTGCTTGTGTTAACGAGCAATGTGTGTAATGTAATGTCTAGAGCGTATAGAATGTGTTTGTGTGGAAAACACTTTTGGTGTAACGTTATTTGTTGATTGCACGTTGACGGGTAATGTGCGTGCAACGCGTTATTTCAAACACGCAAGCATTCAGAACCATCCAAAAAGTAAAAAGAATTTTCCATTAAATTACGAATTCTGTTAATGTTTTTAAAAGAAACTAAAGAGAGAAAAGCAAACGTAAATAAATAAATATAATAAATAAAAAAAAATCATTGTTAAATGGGAATTACACAAATAAATAAATAAAATATTAACAAATAGCAATATATTTAAACGGTTATGATTAAAACAAAATTTTACATGATTTTTAAAATCTAAATATGAAAAAAGATATTTCAATATATACGAAAATAATTTAATAAAACACCACTTTGTTTTTGTCTTTACGAAAAAAAAAAAAAAATATAATATATATATATATATATATATATATATATATATATGCGTGTGTGTGTATATATATATATATATGTACATATATATATGTATATATATATATATATTATTAATAAATAAATAAATAAATAAATTATAATAATAATAATAATAATAATTTCTTGCCAATTAAACAAAATATTTTTTCTAATTAACAATAATATTTCTAAAGATAACAATAATAACAATACTATTATTATTACTATAAACAAAACAAAAAATAAATAAATAAATAAATAAAAAAAAAAAACCAAAAATTAAAAAAAAAAAAAATGTGCCGCAAACAAAGTGTCTTAAGCTCTTAAAACTTTTTTTTTACAAATAATTAAAGAAAATACTAATAATAATAACATAATAAAAATAAATAAAAAGTTTTCATTAGCTATAAAAATCCTAAAGGAAAAAATTACAAATCAAACATTTTTTTCAAAACTTTTAGTAAATAATAAAAGTTTATTAATAAACCTGTAACTTATCCTAAAAAATTGTTTTTTCTAAGCTTTACTCAGATTATAAACGCAAGCTTGCCAATCAAAGAATTTTTATTAAGTAATAATAAAATTATATTAATTAACTTAAACAACGATTTAAAAACCTTGTGATATTTTATATAAATATGTATATATATAAATATATGTATATATATGTACATATATATATGTGTATATATATGTATATATATAAAAACAAAAATATTTAATTAATATAAATAATTCAAAAAAAAAAAAAAGAAAAAAACAAAAAAAATAGGTATATATATATCTATATATATGTATATGTATATTCGGCAATAAATATTTCATCGGAAGACGTCATCGAAGATTGTGTTATGCATTATTTACTAAATAAATGGACATTTTCTTATCAATGACAAACTCTTCGAGAGAACATCATATTCTCCCGAATCATGGATTATATTAATATGAAATATAAAAATTAAGAACAAAAAACACGAAAATATACAAAGCAAAAAAAAAAAATAAATAAATAATTACGAAAACAAAAATCACAAAACTTTAATCAGAAGGTAAGTGTTTTTTTTTATATAAAAATTTGTATGATATGCCGGCGCTAAAATACTTTTTCTTAAGTCGCTGGTTATTGTGTTAGTTTTCAATGCTAAATCTAAAGTCTCGCGTGCGGGAAATTTTAGTTTTCTGGTTAATAGTGAGGTCCATTCATTTACTAATTAATATCTTTCGTTTCCTAATCCTAATCTTTAAAGAGATCTTTCTTCTTCATAGTCTATTAAAAAAAAAAAAAAAAAAAAAAAAAAAAAAAAAATTGTTTTACTGAATTATTGAAATTTCAACTCGATCGACTTTTATCCAATCGTGGATGGATGGTCTATTCTCCTATATCTCTTCGAATCGTTTTCATTTGTTCTAGTCATTAAACTTGAAATATATTAATAATTGTTCGATATCAATGAAAACCAAGATGAAATTTTCAATCGATAGCAATTTCAAAAATGAATTAAGGCATTTATTAAAAATTCATTGTCATTGTCGTTTAATGTATGTTTTTTCTCAAGTATCGAAATTTTTTATTCTTTGATTTCAATACAACATATCTCTACATACGCCACAGCAAGTTCATAGATTTCAATAATTAGGTTTGTTTTTTTTTTTTTACTCAGCCAAATCGCTTATCATCTATTATTACTATTCGTAATATGGTTAATAATTTAACCGTCTTTTTCGCCTATGATAAGTGCAAGGTCTGCCAAGAATAAGTTGCGAAATTCTTTCCTTATTTTCATAGCTTTCCCATTAGCCCACTGAAGAATCGACAAGACTCATAGATATATTTTAGCCTATATATCGAGTGCATAGTAAATAAATAAATAAAAATTCGAGACAATATTTTATATAAGACTTTAAGTGAATTATTTACTATTTCTCAACGAAATATTTGGATAATTGGGGTGCTTCTGCATTGTTAGTGTACCTTTAAGGTGATTGCTAGCTAGTGGGAAAAATCTATTTCATGTTCACTTAACTAGATGTATTTTTAAAGCGTAAGGCTTTTAAAGGCTTAAATTCTCTTCTTTAATGAAATGAAGCTATCTACTATAGTATGTTATATGTATATATATATTTATTGGACGTGATTTTTTCTTTTAAATCCATTTAGAATGTTTTTAAAATTAATATTTCGGTTTTTTTGTTTTTTTAATTTAAATCGTCTAACTTGTATCATTTTGAATCAATTAATATTTAAGGGCTGTGCTATACTCTTTATGTTCTCTATGTTTTCCACTTTAGTTTTAAAAGCGTAGAAATATTCACTAGCAACTGCATTACTGCATAATATCCATATTCCTAAGCAGGGAAAGATTCTAAATCGAGCGTCTAAACCTGGGCGTCTACTCTTTCGCCCGTTCATCCGGTCATTTATATCCTTGTCTGTACGTCTGTCTTCTGACTGTCGTTCAGGGACTAACACATGAATGTCGCCTCTAACAAACTATCCAAATTACTTTTAGAAAGTGTTAATCCTGTCATGTCGTTTCCATCATCTCTTTGCCACTTCAGTGACGTGAACTTTGTTTGTTGCGTTAAAAAGATGAAAACTAAACATTAAAAATCCCGGTCAAACTTAGCTTTCTTAGCTGAATTATAATTAACTCTTCTCCATCGAAAGCAATAATTTATCACTGATTGGCTGATTTTAAATGAAGTAATACGAACACAACAAAAAAGATGCCGATCGGTGTGGGCGACCAAGCAAAGTGGTTATCTGGAACGCGAAAAATCCCGTTAAAAGAGATAGCTGTCGTTGCAAAAACCTCGAAAGGCAGTATATTCACGTTTTTGCATGAAATTTGGGGAACGCGTTCGTTCACCGTTCGTTCAAAAATGCATTGTACAACCAGTCGATGACTACAACATAAAAGTTGTATGACGTGAACTTCGAATTGTTGTCGTTCAGTCGTATTATTCTTTATATCTGAGCTCCCAGCTCCTACGGCTATTATTTGCTATTTCCAAAAAGATAGTTCAGGTACAAAAAAAAAGATCGGGAAACTGAAATATATTTTCACGTGTTGACAAATGTCGTTTTACCGAAAAAGATCATTGATATGCTGCAGTAACCCGAAGATTGATCGCATCCGCTTTCAAGAACGCTATGTTGTTGTTTTAAAAAAAAAAAAAAAAAAAATTTTTTTTTTTTTCATTTCTTACTCAATATCGGAAATTATTGAACTATGCGAAAAGCGTTTTAGCGAATCAATGAAGTAATGCATGGTTATTGGGCTCTTTTTTGTTAATGAAAATAAACTAAGCCTAACCTAAGAAAAGATCAATTCAATTATTTATCACATGCTTGCTTTCATTTTTACAACTTAATAATTTCTATAATAGAAAGTATCCCATGCAAAATATGCATTAAAACTGCGTAAACAAGGCCGTCAAGTCTTTAAGACTGTTATTTATTTTTTTTATTTTATATATTTTTATTTTTTTTTTTTTTATCAATTACACTAATTCTATACACACAAAATAATATATAATTATTTTGCTATTCAGAAGTCCTCCTTTTTAAAGAGTTAGGTTAATGAGTACAAAGCTAGACCAGATTTGGTGGTAATGCAATGAATTGCTTGATTTTAAAATTTAACGCTCAAAAGCTTTGGCTATAAAAATTTTATTCTATTTGCAAAAATCCGGATTTACATTTTAATATATATATATATATATATATATGTATATGAATGTCTGGCTAGTTTAGAGAACGTATAAATTCTAAACTGTAAGCTAAGCGCTAGTAATGTTTATCCTTTAATTCTTTTTTATATTTATCAATTTTGAACGTTTCGGTACGGCGCAGAGACTCAAGCGAAAACAATCCCTCTCTCTCTCTCTCTCTCTCTCTCTCTTTAGCTCTCTATTTGTGAATATGGTCAATAGAAATACCGTCGAAGACTTAACAAATGCATTATGAGTCGTTAAAGACAATTTCAATTTTCCCGCGTAAAATATGAATAGAAGAATGAACGTGCAGCTTGCTTACGCTTGGTTACGTTTTTGTTATCTTAACAAAAATTTCAAGTAAACGAAGTTAAAGATAAGTAAATAGTCTTATGTCGCCCAGGCTGCTGCTATTGAATTTAAATCAAAGCAAATCGCGTTCACCTCCTATTTTTGCCTATTTCTGATGGCTTTTCAACTCAGAAATGTAGGCGTCATTGTTAAGATTAGTTAAGACTTAATATGTATAATAATAAATACGCTATTAATACAAATAACAACTTGAACCAACCTTTCACTTGAACGTTTCTAAGAAAGCCTGGTTTTGCTAATGTTTTTCAATCGCCGAGACTTTTACTAAAGAAGATTCGTGTCACTAATTATAAGCTTTGATCTATAGAGCTAAGCAATTTGCTTTATTACGCATATTTATGATTCTTTCAAATTAACATTTCTATGTTAATTATTTATCGAAAATGTTACCAACAAAAGAAAATTGAATCGAGTTCGATATATATGTTTATATGTTTAACATTATTTAAGTTATGTTTCAGTTTTCATGCTCTTCATGCTTTTCCTTTCCTTTCCTATCCTATCCTTTCCTATCCTTTCCTATATTAAAATAGCAGCGTTCTTGGACTTGGTTATTAGGTCTTTTTTTTTTTTTTTTTTTTTTTAAAACATAGTTTAACGCAATTGATTTTTTGCATATGTTTTGCATAAACGCATTTTTTTTTTTTTGCAAAAAAAAAAACAAACAAAAAAAGAAGATATATTTGCTTTGAACACATTCTTGCGGTTGTTGTAGACGCGAACGATAGGAGGACAGAATTTTCATCAATGTTAGCCTTAATCAATTTTGCAATGCAAACGTCAATCCAAATGTTCCGTAGATCAATAAGTACGCGCAGTAAGTGAAAGACCTAAAGATGCTTCAAGATAAGCGGAAATTGTAATTTTTTATTAATAATTTTTGTTAAGATGGCTGAATGCTATAATCGAATAGGTAAAAATCGTGAGTATCAAGTCAGTGTTCGCGGTATTCACAAGTGCGCTAAAGACTTTTTTCGATGCACCGTAAGTGAGCGGTTAGTCGATAAGAGTCATAACACTTCTCGATTGCGCACGCACCCGCTACATTGCGGTCATCATTGCTCTTCTCTCTACGAGTCTTTGTGGTACACGTATAGAGGACATCTCCCGGAGGTGATTGCTCATATAATATATACATACATATGTATATATATTGGGATCATATATATTAAGCGCGTGCATGTATTTTGATTAGTTTAGTTTTAATTGAAAAAGTCATTTATTGAGGAAAATTAATGCAATATATGTTAATCAAAATATTTGGCGATACCGTGTCGCAAGAATGATATTGGTTTGACAGCGATCCAATCATTCACCTATTTAAGCACACCTTCAGCATTTCGAAACTGCATGCCAGCCAAGCCATGCTGCACCGATCGGTGGTATGCCGCTTTGTCCAATGACTACGATTGGGACGACACAGCGTCCCACTCGAGTTGCAACAGTTGACAAATCTTGTCGTGCAAGCGGATGACGTTGCCTCTTTTAACTGCTATTCCTCGTCTTTTTTGTGACAATATATCGTTCAATTTGTTCAGTTGGCGTCGGCAGACATCTGCAGTACTACATAATGCACTACACGCTGCTGATCTCATCATATTGCACAGCAAAACTTCACGGCTATTAATATTCAGTTTCAGTGAGCTTGGAATTGTTGCAGCAAATGCACTTTTCATCGCCAGTCCCACGTATGCCACTGAAGACTCTTCTATTTTTGCCTGTCAAACGATGACGACGCGTTCTTGAAACGATTCGAAATCGTATGGTAGCCATTTTTCCTCCTTTTCGATCTGTTCCATCTCATGCAAGCGTTGATTCATCAACTGTTCGGTTGTTCCGAAATTCTCTAAGAGTTTGAGACGCGTTTTCGTTCGTCAAGTCGTGCAATTGCATTGTCTTCTAATCTTTGTTTGGTCCTCTAGGCCGTTTTTGTCATTGTGCATCACAATACAAAAATACA